GGTACTATCAAATAATTGTTTTGTTATTGTATATTAATTGTACAAATTTATGCACAGTATGTGCATACATATATTTACATGGTATATATGTATGTGTGAATAAAAATATATACAAATTATAATTTAATTTCAAGCATATACAATTATAAATATAATTATAAATTTAAGAGAATAGACTAAGAGTACCATGTTCAGTTTTGGTACAATGAGCTAAATATGGATTGTGTTTCGGTACACAAAACTAAATACTATCACTAACCAGAGAACACATAGGCCGGTTAGTGATACTATTTATGAATTGCATTTGCTGCCTGTGTGAGTGTTACCAGACTCTTTCAAATGAAACAAAGAATGCCAGCTAGAAATAAAGGACAAGACACAAGTGGGTTTGAAGCTTGAGATACCAACTGTGGTAAGCTCATTTATATCAAACGCCACCACAACAACCATCACACGCTTTCTACAAATGGTAAAAATTAACGAATAAAATTGAGTATTTATAATATTTTAAATATATATATACATATATATAAATATTTTTGTTTTAGATAATAAAATAGCTTACGCAGTTTAATAAAAAAATTGTGTTTAAAATAATATGCTAATTTTTGGACGTGTGTAAAAAGAAAAATTATTGAAAAATTATTGCAATTTTTCTTCTTTTCTTAAATTATGTTGTATAGTGTGATTTGTATAGACAAAGGACTCTGACAAAGCGGGTAGTATGTGCAGTTGTATATATGTATGTACATGACCACACACACGCATATTTCTGTAAATGTAAGGTGTAAGTGCTGCGCCTGCGAAAATGGTAGAATCATTAAACGATGAAACGGCTATAGGAAGTTTATGCTTTGAGCCCTATTTGTATGTACTTGCGTGCAGCTATTACTTTATGCGTGCCTGGTAGATGTTGAACAAATCGATGGCCACAAATAGGTTTTCAATTTATCGATTTTATTGGTTTGCAAATTTGTGTTCGTTGATGATAGATGGATCATAACAAAATTAACGGTATTTAAAAGCAACGCTTCAAATGCTCCATTTCCCATATACATACATACATATATACATTTACAAATATTCATTCATCATCATTTTTGTGTTTTATGACTAATACCACTATACCACTAACTCTGGTTAGTGCTATTACTAAGTAACTAATTAAGTAACTTTTTTGCTCAAGGTTTATATCATTTATATTTTATATAGTGCATTTGTCTTTTTGTCCATTTATACAGAAATAACTTATTTTATATAATTATGTTGTTTAGACATGTCTCGCCGGATATCTCCTTTTGCGGTACTACTTATAGAACAGACTTTCCTGATTAAAGAAGTCACTTAAAATGAAGTACAGGACATTTATTCAACTAACACTTTTGAGTAAACTTTCCTTTCTTTTTCCAAAAAAATATTTTTTAAAATAATCATTCAGCTAAAATGGATTCCAAACATTAAATTGTTTCGTGCATTCAAATATAATATACAATTGTATCTAGTATTTAGTTAAAATGATATCAAACTCAAAATTATAATGCGCAAGGAAATAAAAAAAAA